TGTAAAAATTCGGAAAGTTCGGCCCATAATTGCGGCCTATGGAGCGACCATAAAATTGGACAAAAATAAAGTTTTTGGTCCATTTCAACCCCTAAATGTTAACCGATCTTTATCAAAAACAATAGGGGTCTTCATTGACCAGAACCCATCCTACATGCAAAATTTCGTGAAGATTGGTCCATAACTGTGGCCTGTATCGTGATTAGAAATTATAATGGACAGACGGACGGACGGACACACATGTCTAGATCGACTCAGCTAGTCGAGATATGACGTTCGGTATACTTAAAGGTGGGTCTAGGACCAATATTTCGCGGCGTTACAAACTTTTGGGGCTGCACAAAGCTATAATACCCTGACAACATAGTTGTGTAGGGTATACAAAAATGTATCTCTTCAAAAATTTGTTTTACTTGTATTTAGTGCCACAATTACACATTTTAACAATTAAAAAAGATTTAATACGATTTCTTACCTAATTTACGTTTGCTTTCAAACTGACAAATTTCTTAAAAATTCACTTTTGCACGTGTTTCAAATCAGTACTAAGTGAAATGCCTACTTCTTCCCAATAACCTTTCTTCCGACATTGAAAATTTGGATAGATGTAGGAGAGAGTATATTTTATGTAAAACCGATTGTGTTTAAAAAGTGATGACTAATTGTACATGCCGCAATTAGGTGATTTTGAGGAATTTTAAAATTGTAATACCAAACAAAGAACCTGATTCAAAGATGGGTGAAGTCACAGGTTAGGGTATTTTTTTTTTTTAATTTTCAAAATGTTCATTGGGCTGGTAAATGAAAAGAAAACCATGACATTTCTTTCATTTTTCGCGTTTTTGGTAAGATCTTAAAAATATTTTAAATGAACAGAACGGTTTGTTGCATTTGTTTTCAGAGGTGTATTTTCTCCTTTCTGACAAAAGCTACACTACCTTGTATAATTGTACCATGGGTAGAATCTTTTTTATAGAGGGACAAGGTGGTATCGATTGAAACAATGTAGCTGATCTGTGGTTTTGAGTTGGTTTGGATAAAGGGGTATCCCCAAAGTGAGGAATACACCTTTTTCAAATGTTATTCCAAACATTTCAATTGCAATTCGAGAATTTCATTTGTAATTCGAAAATTCAATTTGCAATTCATAACATTTCAGTTGTAATTCGAGTATTTTATCCGCAATTCACAACAATTCATTTGTAATTTTAAACTTTTCATATGTAATTCAAAAAATTCCATCTGAATTTTTAAGAATTTCATTTGTAATTTGTATATTTTTATTTGAAATTCAATGAATTCCATTTGAAATTCATAAAATTTTACTTGTAAATCATAATATTTCAGTTGTAATTCGTAAAAATTCATTTCAAATTCTTAACATTTTATTTCAAATTCGAATAAAATAAATAAATTGAACAATAAGTGGGGTAGATTTTTTTTATGTAGTGAAAAATAGTATTAAAAAACAAACTAAAACACACACACATATATATATATATATATATATATACATATATACATGACAAATTCATAAAAGATATATATATGCGGTTTTTATAAGAATGTATAAAAATCAACATTAAGGTCTGTCAATAATCTATATAAATTAAATTTAAATATATACATTAAAGTTCATGATGCAAAAAGTATAAAGTATTTAAAATTATAAAGTATATTACATTAATATGTACATACATTATTACCCACCTTAATGTGTTACACATATTTTGAGTGTTTCTCATAACATTTTTCCAATTTAAAATGAAATGTTATTAATTTCAAATCAAATATTACGATTTTCAATTGAATTTATTTGAAAGTTGGATGGAATTTTATGAATTTCAAATGGAATTTTAGTAATTTCCAATGGAATTTTACGAATTTCAAATGGAATTCTGTAAATTTCAAATGGAATTCTGCGAATTTCGAAAGGTGTTCTATGAATTACAAATGAAATTCTCGAATTACAACTGAAATGTTATGAATTGCAAATGGAATTCTCGAATTGCAAATTGTATGTTATGAATAACAAATGGAATTCTCGAATTACATTTGAAATGTTTTGAATAACATGTGAAAAAGGTGTAGACCTAAAATATGGTCGATAGAGGACACATTTTGCGTACTATTTCCATTGACGTGTTTTCAAATTTTATGGTGAAGACCATGATAAAACGGCATATACATTAGAACTTTTTACCGGGTTAACCTACTTTATGAGGATTTATTTGACATATATGCAAAGGAATTGACAATTGAAACCCACTCGGTTAACGAAATCCGGTTAAATGTAAACGTACTGTAACGTAAGGTTAGAGATTTGATGCCGAGGCTAAGGGTGAATTTCTCCAGTATTTTTCAGAAATCGTGATATTTACCATCCAAAAAAAAAAAAAAATTAAGTTGCTGTTGCCCTTGTATGATTCTACCATGTTATATACATATATTGCATAATTAGGAATATTAAGTAATTAAAAATAAAACTATCTTTTTTTGAAAACAGGTTATAAAATTCAGGGATTTTTTTTTTAAATACAGCTTTCCAAACTATTTTAAAATATAAATAAATAAATAATAAATCACATTGTAGTTGTGGTGAAACCTTGTGGACGAGCTGAAGCCCAGAAAGTCGTTTAGAGGAACAGAAGGGTGTCTTTAGAGACGAGCTGAAGGGTGTCTTTAGAAACTCCCTGAGGGAGGCCTTTGGAAACGAGCTAAAAGGAGTCTTTATAGACTAGCTGTTGGAAGCTCTATTAAACGAACTGAAGCTCTAGAAGTCTTTATATACGATCTAAATTTCAGGGACTCTTTATAGACGAGTGGAGAGAAGTTTTTATAGGCGAGCTGAAGGGAGTCTTTAAAAACATCTGAAAGGAGTCTTTATGGACGTCTTTCTAAGAGAACTGAAGGGAGTCTTTATAGAAGAGTTTAAAGGCTTCTTAGTAGACGAGATTAAGATATCGACCTTTATATCTAAATTTCGACAGCATTGACTTCTGCGGGAACTCTCGGTTCAGCAGGCTCCTTGCAGGAACAACAACCGGTAGCGTTGAATACTATGCGCTGTTAATACTATCTCATGGAGCATAATGACAATTTTTATTGTAGTTCTGAAGTGATGTGATATTAAAGATCAGCGTATAAATAATAACTTCAATGTAAACATAGTATTACAATATAGTCATATGAATTAATTTATTAGCATACTTTTAGGCTTATTAGTAGTGAACCACAATTGAATTAGCAGTGTTTTTATACCCTTCACCACACTGTGGTACAGGGTATTATGTCTTTGTGCATATGTTTGTAACAGGCAAAAGGAATCGAGATAGACTAATGGTTCCTTTTGAGAATATGCATAGAATCACTTTCTGAGTCGATTTACGCATGTCCGTCTGTCCGTCCATGTATTTTTGTGAACAAAGTACAGGTCGCATTTATAATCCGATTTGGATGAAATTTGGCACAGCTCATTTGTTTGGCCCAAGGACGAACCCTATTGAAATTGGGAAAAATCGGTCCAGATTTAGATATAGCTCCAATATATAGTTTTGTCCGATTTCATGTAAATGGTGCACCAAAGTCCCTATTTATCCTTCGATTTGCACGAAATTTGGTATAACGTACTGAATTGAGCCTAGAGTGCTGTCTGCCAAGTTTTGAGAAAATCGGTTCAGATTTTGCTATACCTCCTATATATAGTTTCGTCCGATTTCATGTAAATGGTGCCCAAAAAGTCCCTATATATCTTTCGATTTGCACGAAATTTGGCATAACGTACTAAATTGAGCCCAGAGTGATGTCTGCCAAGTTTCGTGAAAATCGTTCCAGATTTAGATATAGCTCCCATATATAGTTTCGTATTATTTCATGTAAATTGTGCACCTAAGTTCCTATATATCTTTCGATTTGCACGAAATTTGGCATAGCTTACAGAATTAATCTTAGAATGATGTCTGCCAAGCTTCGAGAAAATCGGGATAGATTTAGATATAGCTCCCATATATAGTTTCGTCCGATTTCATGTAAATGGTGCACCAAAGTCCCTATATATCTTTCGATTGGCACGAAATTTGGCATAACGTACTGCTGAAATGATGTGTGCTGAGTTTCGTGAAAATCGATTCAGATCTAGATATATATATTTTCGTCCGATTTAATCTAAATAATGTACCAAGTTCTTATGTTGCATAGTGCCAAGTTTCGTGAAAATCGGCCAAGACTTAGATATAGATCCCATATATATTTTCGTCCGATTTAATGTAAATTGTGCACCACATGTATCCTTCGATTTGCACAAAATTTGGCATAGCGTTCTGAATTGATGCTGGAATGATGTGTGCTGAGTTTCGTGAAAATCGATTCAGATCTAGATATATATATATATATATATATATTTTCGTCCGATTTAATCTAAATAATGTACCAATAGCGTACCAATGTTGCATAGCGTTCTGAATTTAATCCAGAATAATGTGTGCCAAGTTTAGTGAAAATCGGTTGAGATTTCGATATAGCTCCGCTATATTATAGATTGATTTTAAGTAATTGACGAACAAAGGAACCAATATATGGCTGATAGGAACAAAACGTACTAATATTAGTATAACCTAAGCTGTGACAAGTTTCATTGAAATCGGTTCATATTTGGATATAGCATCCATATATAAAACAGGACTATTACAATTTCATGATAATAGTCCTGTTTAATATACCCATAGTGGTGAAGGGTATCATATAGTCGGCACCGTCCGACTTTACTACTTTCTTTACTGGTTTTTTAACTTGGTTTTTGGTCAAAAATCGGCGATTTTCAAAAAAAAAATTTTTTCAAAGGTCCGTTGCAAACCTTAACAAGCATTGGTATTGATTTACCAGCCCATTGAAAATCTTGAAAAATTAAAATCGAGAATGGGGAAGTTCCCTTAATTAAAAAAAAACAACGTACCACATTTTCTCTTACAAAATCTTTTATTTTTATTTCTGTACAAAAACACTTAACCAAAAATATTATCATAAATTCTATACCAAAAACCATTTGGTCTGAACATTTCATCGGCCTTCATGTCATCTAAATATTTTTTGTAGTTTTTCAGCGCGAATGGATCCAAAGGACCCCAATCTAATTTTGGTTTAAATGAGTTCGAGATACGTTCCCATAAGGTAGCACCAGTTCGTCGATGAACACCATAAATGGCCCACACAATTAATTGGCCAATGCCAAAGGCGGATAGACACCAACCGAAAACTAAAAAAAAAAAACAGTATATATATTTTTTAAAGAATTAAAAATAATGTGAATGAACTTACTGTAAACTCCAGTTTGAAAAGTATAACCATTGTATTCCACAGGTTTGTAATCCACCAGCATATAAATTAAAATGGCCGTCATTACGGCGGGCGTTATAATGCTCCAACATATGCGATAATACCAGGAGGTTTTAATGCCCAACATAAAATAGATATCTTTGCAAAGACGTTTGACACCTAAGGGAATACAGATGATAATGAGTGGGAACCGCATAGTTTCACCTTTATTAACTCACCATAAATCCATCCCACAGCTATTAATTCAAATATGGCCAATACCAAGGCCACCAAAGAGGCTCCATGAAAATCCAACAGAGTTAGGATATATTGTCCCCCGGGAGTTATATATAACAAACCACAAGCATACAAAGCAATCGATATGCCCACGACAATTATCCAATTCTTGGTATTCGTAAAACGATCCTTGATCACAGTCATAATACACGAAGCCATGCCGACATTACTGCCAATGCCCAAAACAAATAACATCAAGAAAAATAATACTGAAAAAATCTAAACAAAAAACTTTTGGAGTTTTGGGTTACGAACATGGAGGACGTGGCGTATTTACCTGAGGAACAAATTTAAACTTTGCTATTGCATCGGGATATGAAATGAAAGCCAATCCTGGGCCACCTTGCACCACACTTTTAATATCCGTTGTGCCAGATTCATGGGCCAAATTTCCCAATATTCCGAAAATTATAATACCAGAGAGCATTGATGTGAAGGTATCTAGGGTAGTGATGATGTTGCAGTCTCTAGAATAAAGGAATAGGAATTGCATATGAATAAAAAGAGTTTAATAGTTTACATTATAGATGAGTCTCTGTAAACGAGATTTGGGAGACTTTATAGACAAGCCGAAGGTAGACTCTAAAAAAGGTGGTGAGAAGAAATTATTTTAAAAATCTACGCCTTATTTAGACCTTGGAAAAAATTATTTTAAAAATCTACGCCTTATTTAGACCTTGGAAAAAATTATTTTAAAAATCTACGCCTTATATAGACCTTGGAAAAAATTATTTTAAAAATCTACGCCTTATATAGACCTTGGAAAAATTTATTTTAAAAATCTACGCCTTATATAGACCTTGGAAAAAATTATTTTAAAAATCTACGCCTTATATAGACCATGGAAAAAATTATTTTAAAAATCTACGCCTTATATAGACCTTGGAAAAAATTATTTTAAAAATCTACGCCTTATATAGAACTTGGAAAAAATTATTTTAAAAATCTACGCCTTATATAGACCTTAGAAAAAATTATTTTAAAAATCTACGCTTTATATAGAACTTGGAAAAAAATAGTTTAAAAATCTACGCCTTATATAGACTTAAAAAAAATAGTTTAAAAATCTACGCCATATATAGACCTCAGAAAAAATTAGTTTAAAAATCTACGCCTTATATAGACCTCAGAAAAAAATAGTTTAAAAATCTACGCCTTATATAGACCTCAGAAAAAATTAGTTTAAAAATCTACGCCTTATATAGACCTCGGAAAAAGTAGTTTAAAAATCTACGCCTTATATAGACCTCAGAAAAAATTAGTTTAAAAATCTGCACCTTATATAGACCTCAGAAATAATTAGTTTCAAAATCTACGCCTTACCTCAGAAAAAATAAGTTTAAACATCTAGGCCTTGGTTACGCCTTAGAAAAATTATTTTAAAAATCTACCCCTTGGCTGGGCCTTAGAAAAAATATTTAAAAAATCTACGCCTTGGCCGGGCCTTAGAAAAGATTATTTAAAAATCTAAAATAATTTGTTTTTCGTACCTCTTTATATTATGTCCGAAACGATTGAATGATGCATACATAATGATATTGCCAAAACAAATGGCCAATGAGAAGAACACTTGGGTAACGGCAGCATACCATACCTGGAAGAAATCAATATATAAATTTCTCACTTCCCCTGTCTCTCTTCAAATTCCACTCACTTTAGGATCCAATAATTTATCCCATTGAGGTTTCAAAAAATATAATACTCCATTAAACGCTCCGGGCAGTGTGAGTGACCTCACCAGCAATATAGCCATAATACAATATGGGAATAAGGCAAGAAAGTATGAAGCCTTACCGGAACTTTTGACACCTTTAATTGTAATTAAAGCTATTACCAGCCAAGAAACTGCCAAGGTTAGAGACAGACTCCAACTTGGATAGCCAATGCCATCATCTATTGTACTCTTTTCGCGTAATATTACATTTCTTAAAGAGATGGGGAGAGAGAGAGCAAATAAAAAGAAGAGAGAGAGAGAGAGTGATTATTAAATCCGAATCATTCTGTCCAAAAAGTGTACTTACATAAAATAAAATTCCGCTGACGATTTTTTAGCCTCATCTAACATTGTCATGTTCCCCATTGAATTCTCCGATGGTGGTTTCGAATCAAAACAGCCATCACCCCATTCTTCGCGACAATGACTCCAGGGCAGAATGGGATAAAAGGAATCAATAAAATAACGTAATGTTATAGCCATGAGGGTAGCATAATAAGTCGTAACAATGCCAGTACCAAAGACCTGACCATAGCCCACACCTAATAAAAAAAATTATTTGAATTAATTAAACTATAAACTATTGGTGCCTCTTACCTCTCATAATAGGTGCAAAATCAAAGACCTTTACACACCCTCGGCTGGAAAATTGGCCCAGCAACATTTCCATATAATACACCGGCTTGCCGACTAAAAATAATACTATAATATAAGGTATCACAAAAGCTCCACCACCATTGTCCAGAGCCGTAAACGGAAATCGCCAAACATTGCCAAGGCCCACAGATAAAGCTATACAGGACATTAGAAATTCAATGTCATTACCCCAATTAGCTCTTTGAGGTGTTTTGGTAAGCTCTGCTCCGTCATTTTGTGTTGGAAGATGCTGAAATTACAGATAAGGAAAATTATGTAGTTATGAGGTAGTATTTATAGACAAGACTTATATAGACATGAGAAAAAATTATTTAAAAAATTCACGCCTTATATAGAGCTGAGAAAAAATTATTAAACAAAATCCGTGCCTTATATAGACATCAAAAAAAAAAAAAAAAAAAATATTTAAAAAATCTACGTCTTATATAGACCTCAGAAAAAATATTCAGAAAAACCACGCCTTATATAGGCCTCAGAAAAAATATTCAGAAAAACCACGCCTTATATAGGCCTCAGAAAAAATTATTTAAAAAATCAACGCCTTATATAGACCTCAGAAAAATTATTTAAAAAATCAACGCCTTATATAGACCTCAGAAAAAATATTTAAAAAATCTACGCCTTATATAGACCTCAGAAAAAATTATTTACAAAATTCACGCTTTATATAGACCTCAGAAAAAAATATTTAAAAAATCCACGCCTTATATAGACCTCAGAAAAAAATAATTAAAAAATCAACGCCTCATATAGACCTCAGAAAAAATTAATTAAAATAATCAACGCCTTATATAGACCTAAGAAAAAAATATTAAAAAAAGGAGCCTATGTAGACGATCTGAAAATAAAAAATGTTAATTTTTAATTTTTACTTACATTGCCATTAAGATCGCCACCACCTCCGATTTCCGGTTTCGTTTCAATTTTTATTGTACTTCTAACCGATCCGGCACGTTCCTCGTCACCATCCAATGATTTACGATATTCACCAGGAATCGATGTGGTCGATGCATGACGTGACGGTACATATGCCAAATTTACAAAGGCACTGTGCCCATCGTTAGTGCTGGCAGCCATAGTGGAGCAACAACACTTTCAAAGGCAAAGTCAAATTCGCCAAACGACAGTACTTAAACCAGTTAGACTTTTTTGCTATGCTCCAACAATAATAAAATGTTTGTCAAGGACAATGGCATGATCTGCAACAAGAAGTAAGAAACTACATTTTCAATATTGACAATCAAAAAAGTGAATGAAAAATCAAACTTGTTTTTATTTGACCGACCAAAATGTACGAAATTGTTAAGAATGTTGTTGTTTGATTTGAAATATGACAAAATACGCAAAAAAAACCTTGCACCACAAGTGGTGTTCCATTACACTCAAATAAAAATGTTAACTGAATGTACTATGGCGACAAGTTGAGGCAATTCGAAAATGAATGAAGCCCACACGTTCTGAAGGCAACCAGGTGTTAAAGTTATAATTGAAATTGCGGTAATTTGTCGAAAGCTCATAAATTTTTTTATTTTTTGTAACACGACGATCTGACATGCATAATTATTAGAGGTAATTGCACCCAAATTGTTTATCGTTATTTGTTGTGACAAATAGCAAGAACTATTTGATTTATTGCTAACGAGGGACATCTGGAATGACAAATAAAGATTAACTATATTGTGGGTGTATTATAACTTAGGTTAGTTTTAAGAGAGGGTTGGTGTATTCCACCATTTGTAGCAATTTAACAATTCCCTAAATTTAGTCATCTGACTCCTGGACACGACCAGTCCAGGTTGCAACCTTGCTGGAGATGAGCTAGAACTGAACTATTAAAAACAAGCCATGTTGCTACACGAATCTTATTTGTACAATGATTGCCATCGAAGTCCATTCTGTAAATAAGGCAGAGCTGCTACTACAACAACTGATCTGTATTGACTTTGTTAAATTTTTAGAATACATCTTGAAATAAGTTCGGTGGCAAAATGATATCAACCTTGTCAAAAAATTTGTATTTTTTCCTATTTCTTCTGCAAATCTATTGGCCAAAAATGAACCACAACAATTTGTAAAATGGTTCGAGGCTATTTTCTTCTGTAGAATATGAAAGAGATACACTAATTATAGCAACCATCCAAATTTCAGTTCGCTTGAAAGAACGCCGGGTCTATTTCATTATATTCCGTAGTTGGACAGCAACTCTTTCTCTCTCTCTTTTTCTAGATCATGAAGATACTTCCTGACTTGCCTAGTTGGCGGATACTTGTACATATGATGGTGCTTCGGATGGCTTCTTTTGTACCACTTAAACAGATATTGCATCGACATCTTGTTGTGTCGACGCACAGGAACGATCTTCGTATTCTAATGTAAGTGGTCTAGTTGTTGCAGCCCTCTGGCAGGATTGAATATTTTATCATGTTTGGTAGATCACACTGTAGCTGCATAGTTTACCACAAACCGGCCTATAGCTCTATAGGTTGTTAACAAGGTTTCTTTATCAGCTCTCCAAGTGCTTCCGCATAGTAATTTGAAAACATCCTGAACTTTGAGGTAGGTTGTGATCGGAAGTTGTTGTCTTCCCCGCATGCTCTACACCTGCTTCTTACACATTTATTATCGTAAAAATATTGTCAATATGCCGATATCCTTTGGTTTAGCAATAAGATTTACTTGGTTTTATGCGCGCATTTGGATCTCTTAATAATATTTTTGAAGAATCGTTTTGGAATCTGGTAGAGAAAGTGAAATTTATTCCCCGGTTCCTCAATAACAAGTCCTCGACCGTCCTTCGTATCGTATAAAAACCGATACGATTTCCGTATTTTGAGTTTTTTTGGAAAAAAATTAATAAACAAATCTACAACTTACATATACCTCAGAACAAAAAAATATTTATCTAAAAAACATCTACGCCTTATATAGAAAAAACCTATTTAAAGGAAAGTAAGGAAAGTTCAAAAGTCGGACGGAGCCGACTATATGATACCTTTCACCACTTTGTATACATTCAAGAGATGCTAATAAATACAATATCCTGTAGATAGAACATACATATGATCTTAAGAGGGCCATTGAAATGGAATGGGGTGAAAATAAATGTGTGATCTACATAGATATTTGAACCAACTATACCATTCTGAAATCTATGAAAAATTGTATGTCAATCATATTCTTTTGGTTACCATTTCTATGAAATAGAGCATGGTTATGGTGCTATATGCAAATCTGGACCTAATTGAGCATCCGTGGCATACAGCGTTTGGTATGCTGCAGCACAGAGTGCTGTCCACAATTTTATCTCGCGTATATGGAACAGACGTAAGCTCCTCGGTGCACCATTTACCTAAAATCGGACGAAACTATATATGAGAGCTCTATATAAATCTGAACTGATTTTCACAAAACGTCGTATATATTATTATGGACCTATCTCAACACGTTATTCCAAATTATGTATTAATCGGACAGTATTTTGGAGTTTGGTGCACCATTTACCAAAAAATCGCTAGATACATCCAAATCTAAACCGTTTTTCATAAAACTTCTTATACATCAATGTAAATCTATTTTAATACCCCTGCAAAATGTCTCAATAGAAATAAATTTTGAAAGTTTGGTGCATAATTTAAATAAAATCGAACAAAACTATATATATAGAAGCCATACCTAAATCTGAACCGATCTTCACGAAACTTAGCACGCATCATCTCTGGCGCAATTTAGTACGCCGTGTAAAATTTCGTGCAGATCGAAAGGTATATAGATACTTTGGTACACCAATTACATAAAATCGGACAAAACTATATATGGGAGCTATATCTAAATCTGAACCGATTTCCACGAAACATAGCGCACATCATTCTACACTCGATTTAGTACCCTATGCCAAATTTCGTGCAAATCAAAAGATATGTAGGGACTTTGATTCACCATTTCTATAAAATTTGAACCGATTTTTACGAATCTAAACACACATCATTCTGCACTTAATTCAGTAAGCTATGTAAAATTTCGTGCAGATCGAAAGATATATGCATATCATCGAAAGATATACACACATCATTCTAGACCTAATTTAGTACGCTGTGCCAAATTTCGTGCAAATCGAAGGATATATAGGGACTTTATTTACATTACATTAAATCGGACGAAAATATATATGGGAACTATATATAAATCCAAACCGATTTTCACGAAACTTAACACACATCATTTTGCACTTAATTCAGTACGCTATGCCAAATTTCGTGCAAATCGAAAGACATATAGGGATTTTGGTGCACCATAAACATAAAATCGGACGAAACTATACATAGGAGCTATATCTAAATCTGAACTTAGCACACACCTAATTCAGTACGCTACGCCAAATTTCGTGCAAATCGAAAGATATATAGGTACTTTTGTGCACTATTTTCCTTAAATCGGACGAAAAAATATATGGGAGCTATATCTAAATCTGAACCGATTTTCATGAAATTTAGCACACATCTTTCTAGAATTAATTTAGTACGCTATGCCAAATTTCGTGCAATTCGAAAGATATATAGGAACTTTGGTGCACCATTTACATTAAATAGGACGAAAATATATATGGGAGCTATATGTAAATCTGAACCAATTTTTCCCAATTTCAATAGGGTTCGTCCTTGGGCCAAACAAATGAGCTGTGCCAAATTTCATCCAATTCGGATCATAAATGCGACCTGTACTTTGTTTACAATTTAACATGGACAGACAGACGGACGGACATGCATAAATCGACTTAGAAAGTGATTCTATGCATATTCTCAAAAGGAACCATGTGTCTATCTCGTTTCCTTTTGCCTGTTACATACATATGCACAAAGACATAATACCCTGTACCACAGTGTGGTGAAGGGTATAAAAATCTAGGCCTTATATAGACCTCAGAAAAAATTATTTAAAAAATGTACGGCTTATATATACCTCACAAAAAATTATGTAAAAAAATTTACTACTTACATAGACCTCAGAAAAAATTATTTTAAAAATCTACGCCCTATATAAATCTCAGAAAATATAATTAAAATCTATTGCTTAAATACAGCTCAGAAAAAATATTTAAAAATATAAAAAATTTAAAAAAATCTACGCAAAAATTATTATTAAAAAAACACGTGTTATATAGACATCAGAAAAAAAAATATTTAAAAATTCCGCGCCTTATATAAACCTCAGACAAGTTATTAAAAAAATCAACGCCTTATATAAACCTCAGAAAAATTATTTAAAAAATCCACGCCTTATATATTTTCAGGAAAATATTAATTAAAAACATTTAAAAAAGAAAAACAATATTTAAAAATTCCACGCCTTGTATAGACCTCAGAACAAAATTATTGAAAAATGCCACGCCTTATATAGACCTCAGAAAAAATAATTTGAAAAATTTCACGCCTCGGAAATATTATTAAAAAATCTACGCCTTATATATATTTCAGAAAAAAAAATATTTAAAAAACCCACGCCCTATATATCATTCAATATCTTTCATATAAAAACAAAAGTACTCTTTATATAGGACCTCAGGAAAAAATATTTAAAATATCTACACCTTGGCATGGCCTCAAAAAATATTTAAAACCAGTGAGCGGAGCAGTATAGTCGGACGGGCCGACCATATAATACCCTACACAACTTCCACGAAAGTCTAACTTTGCGTTATTTGCACCCTCTTGACACCCGACTAAAGGTCAACAAATATTAGCAATATTCAGTAGACGAGGGCTGTACTTGTCCAGATTCTCTTTATGTTGGGATGTTGGGCTTTCAATTGTGACCTATAGACTGAGTAAAAAAAACACAAAAAGTTAAGTTTTCGGTCGACTTCATCCCAAAATTATTATCTGATCATCACCGAAAATTATAAGCGTTGTCCTTGACCATAACTGGAATCTCATGGACATTTTCTCCGCCCTCTAGTGTGGTATTGGGTTACTAAATAATGTCTGAATACGTAAGCACCTGTAAATATTTAAGTGTAACTCCCACATCTGAGTACATACGACCATATAATTGTTATCAATTTAAAGGTCAACCACTCCTCT